GCCCCACCTACAGCATCCTTGGGTTCCTGGAAGGAGAGTATTTTGCCCATGTTCACATGGCCACTCAGGATTCTTGGGTCACAAACCAAACCATGAAAGGGAATCCCTGGTGATGGGTTTTGTTTAGCTTGTGGAATCAACACAGGGCTGCCAAACCAGGTTCAGAAACAGGCAGGAGCCTTGCAAGGGCCCCTGAGAGCCCCTGTGGCCGTCTGATCAGGAGGCGTGTGGCGAGGCTTTCGGGGCATTAGGATTTCTCTGATGGGGCAGCAGTTTAGCGGAGGCCAGAGTACAGTGAAGGTGTGAGGACGCGGGGGAGGGAAGTGGACAAAGGGAACGTCAAGTGCAAAGGCCCGGAAGCAGGGACTTTGGCCAGCTGACTGGAGCCCAGGTGCAGGAGGCCCAGAGGGAGGTGGCCTCTGGGGCCATGGCGAACCCGTGAGCTCACCCTGATGCTCTGCAGGGACCCGGGACTATGAAGGGTGCACAAGGGTGGTGGTTACACAGAAGTGGAGGAGTAATGTGTGTGCATGCTAAGTCGCTTCAGTCATGTCAGACTCTTTGCGACCCTGTGGACTGTAGCCCACCAGTCTCCTCTGGCCGTGGGGATTCTTCAGGCAAGAACATTATACTGGAGTGAGTTGCCATGCCCTCCTCCAGCGGATCTTCCCCACTCAGGGATCGAACCCAGGTCTCTCATGTCTCCTGCATTGGCAGGCAGGTTCTTTACCACTAGTGCCACCTGGGCAACTGGGGGAGTAATAGACTGTGTTTAGGTTTCACTGATTTCATTGTCTACTCAGGGTGGCCCCTGAGGTCTCTGCCTCTCCCCCCATAAAACTCCTTCCCTGGAATGGGGGCTGACATGTAACAACCTTTTAGCTGGCAGAATAATGTAGAGAAAGGGATTTTGCAGGTGTAATTATAATACCAAATCAGTCTGAGTCTGAGTTATTCAGAATGAAGATTATCTTGGGTGATCTTGGCTCATTTATGTAAAAGCCCTTTGCAGAGGGACTTCACTCTTTGAGGCGAGAAACTCTCTCTCCTGATGGCCTTGCAGAAGCAAACAGCCAGGCTGTGAGCAGCCCCCGGGGGAGCGCGGCCAGCCTCTAGATCCAAGGGCGCCCAGCAGTCACGAAGCCGGCACCCTCAGTCAGCAGCTTCCAAGAAGTGAATCCTGCCGGCAGTTTGCATGGACCGACAGCAGATCCTTCTCACTCAGACCTCCAGGTAAGATTGCAGCCCAGTCGATTACAAACTTGTGAGCCCCCTGACCAGATGACCAGTGAAGCCAAGCCCAGACTCCTGACCCAGAGAAACTGTGAGATCATTGATGGGCGCTGTGTTCAGCTGCTAAGTCTGTGGTTTTCTGTGGTGTAGCTCAGAAAACTAATCCAGTGGACAGCTGCTAACATATAGGTGTGTTGTTCCTCCTCCCATTATTAAGTGACGCTGCACACTTGCCACTGGCCCCCAGAAAGCAGGAAGTGTCTCGAGGGGTCTGCCCTAGCACTCACGCAGAGCAGCCAGGGAAGGGGTGGGCTCAGCAGGGTGCTCCCGGGTCATGCAGCCGTCTCCCCAGGTGCCCAGGAGGACTCAACCCTTCATTTCTTTAGGCGGCCTTGTTAATTTTCATACAATACAAATAGAACAAACATAACTCTTCAATAACACTAACAGGTCACGTCACTAATTCATAATGACAGGACCGCGTTAGTCAAACATAAAAGCCCAGAGATGGGGCACTTCACTGGTGGTCCAGTGGTTAAGAATCTACCTTGCAATGCAGGGGACGCAGGTTCAATCCCTGGTCGGGGAATTAAGATCCCAAATGCCATGGGGCAACTTGGCAACTGAGACCTGATACAGCCAAATAAGTTTAAAAAACAAACAAAAAAACAAAAAACACCTAGAGATGGATTATGTATTGGCCCAAGAATTTCGCTTGACTTTTTCCATAAGAAGTTACAAAATACCATCAAGCAAGACTTTATAGATGGCATCGTTTTAGAGGAGATACAAGCTGGCAAAGAACTGAAACCTATGTGAAGGGTTTGAGCTTTCAATTCTGATTGATGCAGCAAATGACGTTTACTTACAAACAGCAACTTTAGTCTGATGGCCTTAGGAAGAGCAGTCTAGACCTGGCTCCATCCAGGAATTCCTCCATCTACGACCAGAATGCCTTAACCCAGCTGATGAGAGATGCTGTTCTTCTTCTCTGGGGCCTTCACTCCTGGAAAGGTTTCAAAATAAATATAACTGTAACCTGAAAAAGATATTTGAAAAAAAGAGGGAATAATGAAAATGTTAGTTTAATTCATGATGTTGCTACTTGGGGTAAGAGGTTGGCTTGGTAATCATTGCATTGATATATGCTTTATTCATTGTCTGAGGTGTTTGCAATATTCAAAAGAATCTAACCATGCCAAACTTAAAACTGGAGGTTACACTGTATAAGAGAACTACTTTAATGTGCTTGTAATTGTTATTTAGATGTGCCAAAAAAGAGAGATTTGTAAAATCTGGTTCACTGAACATGAACTGAGTTAAACAGAGTCCATGGTGCATGGACACTCCTGGGAAATCATCAGCAAGGGAAAGGGAACTGCAATCTGATCTGAGGGGGGACCCGGCCTTTCAACGAGCAGGGACAGATATACTGGTCAGACAGAGGACAGAGATCATGGGATCTCGAAGGAGAAGCAAAGAACTCCAAGGAGAAAAAGCAAATTGCACAACAAAACAGAAAGGTGAGCCCATGTGGGGAGAGTCAACTCTTGTCAATTACACGTGTGCGTGTTTCTGTTAAGTCTCTAGGTCTTATCCAACTCCATGGTCTGCAGCCCACCAGACTCCTCCGTCCACGGGAGTCTCCAGGCGAGCATACTAGGGTGGTTGGCCGTTTCCTTCTCCAGGGGGTCTTCCCGACCCGGGGATCGAACACACATCTCCTGAGCCTCCTGCACTGCAGGCAGATTCTTTACCGCCGAGCCACCTCGGAAGCCTCGCATACATGTGTAGCAAGGGCGATGGCAATTCCCACCTTAGGCCATTCGCCACAACGTCTGGGTTGGGGGCGGGGAGGGCGGTCGGGTCTCGCCTGCAGTCAGCACTCCTGCGCAGGGTCCCCGGGCCGCCCCCGGGCTCCGAGGCCGCCCCACACTCCGCTGGCGGTCGCTCACGCAGGTGGGCGTGTGTTGTCTCCTCTCACAGAGATCCGATGAAGTACTCATCTTACTTGAGAGTCCCTTGGCCTGCAGGGAGATCCGACCAGTCCATACTAAAGGAGATCAGTCTTGAACATTCACTGGAAGGACTGATGCTGAAGCTGAGGCTCCAATACTTTGAACACTTGATGCAAAGAACTGACTCCTTGGAAAAGACCCTGATGCTGGGGAAGATTGAAGGTGGGAGGAGAAGGGGACGACAGAGGATGAGATGGTTGGATGGCATCACGGACTCGATGGACATGAGTTTGAGCGAGCTCTGAGTGTTGGTGATGGACAGGGAAGCCTGGCGTGCTGCAGTCCATGGGGTCACAGAGAGTCAGACATGACTGAGTGACTGAAGTGACTGACTGACCTCGTTTTACAGGTGAGGAAACTGAGTCAGAAGTGGGCTCCTCCTTAGTGGGCCAGGACCCGCAGCCCCGAGATGGAAGAGGAGGCTGTGTCCCCTTTAAAAGAGAGACCACACCATTCCCCTGCAGCAGTCTACAGGCCCGGGTTCCTCCAGGTAGGAAGACGGAAGGAGGCCTGTTACAGGGAAGGGTGCCTCTCCTAAATGAGAGGTGAGGGTTACCTAGTGGGAGGCACCAAAGACCCAGTCCTATGCCTCGGCGTCCAGCTCAGCTGATTGTAATTGTGTGAATTGCAGGGAAAGCCCAGCCTTGGAAGTGGGTTCCTCCGGCCGGGCGGCCCGTGGGGAGTCCTGGGAACCCTCCACACGGTGCCACACCTGTTAGCACTTTTCACTGCAGCAGCTGAAAGTACTGACAGTCGTGATCACGGGACACGTCTCAGGGCTCCTCTCGCCGGCTCCATGCACAAACCCCAGCGCCCTGCTCCTGGTGGAGCTGCAGAACCCCATGTCCTTTCCTTGGGTCTCCATGGACACCGAAGAAGGAACTTGTCCTTGGAAGCAAAGCAGGAGTGGCAGGCCCATTCGAGGGGCCTGCTTCCTGGAGCCTCAGCGCTCTGCTTGCCGACAGTCCTCCCCCGCGGGTCCCCGCCGCCCTCGAGGACATAGGCGGGCGCCTGGCGGGCCTTTGTCGCCGTGCCTGCCGCCGTTGGTCCCCCCCTGGCCGGCTCTCCAGGCCCTGCGGCTTGGGCTTCTGCTGCTGCTTAGTCGCCGAGACTCCTCGGCGACCCCGTGGACCGTAGCCCGCCAGGCTCCTCAGTCCATGGGATTTGCCAGGCAAGAGTACTGGAGTGGGTTGCCGGTTCCTTCCCCGGGGGATCTTCCCGACTCAGGGGTGGAACCCATGTCTCCTGTGTTGGCAGGCATAGCCCCCGGGGAAGCCCCCCACTCGTTGTTTTTGTGTTAGTCACTTAGTCGTGTCTGACTCTTTGCGACCCCGTGGACTGTGGCCTGCCAGGCTCCTCTGTCCATGGAGCTCTCCAGGCAAGAATACCACTCGTAAATCATGGTTTTTATCAAGGATCCCCTGAACAGTGGTAAGAAATGGGCTCCTCTCCAAGCGCCCCAGCTGCCAGAGGTGGAATCCGGACTGTGGCTTTTTCCCTGCAGTGGCGACTGCAGGCTCAGAACCTGAGAATCTTGGATTGTGAGGCCGCATTCTGTGCCCCCAGGGGCCGGCCCTGCCCCACTCCTCCAGGCCTTCTGCCCGCGATGGCCCGGCCCCCGGGGCCTTCTGCGTCCCTCATTCATGTCGCCCCCTGCCTCCTGCTCTCTTCTGGAGCCTAAGGGCGCTCTTCCCGGCCCTGTCCGTGGGCCCCCTCCTCCCGCCCAGGGGCCTCTCGCTGAAGCCAGCCATGTCCACCGTGCAGGCGGCAGGTAGGAGCGGGGAGGGTGGGCCTGGCCGGGGAGGGGATGGAGGGGGTGGGGGAGAGGGTCCCCTCTCCTTCCTGAGGACCCCTGCCCCCTTTTAGGCCTCCAGACCCGCCGTTTTACAAAGCCAGGGCCGCGTGGTTTCTTCTGCTTTTCTCTGCGGTTGCAGGAAAACCAAGTTGAAGGGCTCGCTGGCAGAGTAATGACCGAAAGAGCGGGGATCGAGCCCCTCCCAGGCCCTGCAGGACCCTGGGTGATCAGGCGCCGGGGTGTGGCCACAGAGGCCCCCTCCTGACCCCAGGCCGTGCCCTCTTTTCTCGGCGTGCGAGTGGTCATTCGCTTGCCCCCAACCAGAGAGAGGCCCAGGTGTCACCAAACCCACTGCTCTGGTAAAGGGTCCCAAGTCCACGCGGTGGCGGATTTCAGAGAGAAATCTGTCAGTCTGAGTACCTTTCACTGACGTCTGGCAGAGGCTGGAAATTCTCCCCTGAAAGATGCTCTGTCATCACAGAAGACAGAGCGGGTCCCAAAGAGCAGGCATCGTCTTAACAAGCGTCTCCCGACTGTCTGGACACTGGCTTTTTAAGACTTTTTCAAGACCATTTTTACATCTTTATTGAGTCTGTTGCAATACCGCTTCTGTTTTTATGTTTTGTTTTTTTAGCCATGAGGCATGTGGTATCTTAGCTCTGGGCCAGGGATCAAACCTGCATCCCTCGCGTTAGAAGGTTAAGTCTTAACCATTGGACCACCAGGGAAGTCCCTGGGTCCTTTGATTTTGTAAAACTGGGAATGGCCTTCGGGAATGATCCAGCCTGAGGGGTACACCTCATGGTCTCTGGGCCAGAGCTCAGTCTGGAGCAGAGGGACTGAGGTGTGAACCCTCACCTGGGCAGGCGAGCTTGAGCTCCGTTAAGACATTCATGGAACATCCAGCAGGTTCCAGGCACTGAAGATGCAGAAAGAAGACACGAGGGGCTCAGCGGACCTGACTCAGTGGGGAGATGAACTCTCTCCCCCCGGTTAGAGTGGTACCCGAGTGTCACAGCCCTGATACGAAGTGGGGTTCCCTGCAGTGTCCACGCACACTCAGAGTGGGACACACGTGGACTTCACCCTTGAAATGGCGATTCTGTCGTGGAAGGTGATGAGGTGAACCTGCCCCCAGGAGAGGGGACACTGTTATAGTCCTGAGGGATGTTGAGTGTCGCTGTGTAAGGAAGCTGGGCTTCCAGAGCGAAATGACTTGTCAAGTCACACGGGGAGCGTGTGGGACAGGCAGAGTGGGGACCAGAGCACGCTTCCTCCCACAGCATCCAAATGAGCTGAGGTTTCCCTGGGCTCTTCCTGCCTCCCGTCAGCAAGTCCCGGAGAAGCAACCTGCTCTGTTCCTCTGAACGTGGCAGTGATGAAGCGCATTCGATTCACCTCGCGTGTGGTTGCCACCAACGTGCGGACTTCGTGTTTTAGCCCACGCTTGGTCTAGACACGTCGGTGGCATCTTTTGATGCTGCAGGGCTATTCAGAGGTTTTGAGTACAGCTGCTTGGTAACTTACTTAGCCAGAACTTGCCATCTACTATCGACTCTGTTCTTGTGAGAATTACTAGGAAATTCTGACTTCAAGAGATGATTTCTGTGTTCCACTGCACGAGTGAATGTGTTCTACCAGGCAGGATTATGCAGCGAGGAGCACCTCTGAGAGAACGAAGGGTGTGAAGGTGTTTTAGATCCTATTTGTGGCTGCAGCGGGTCTTCGTTGCTGCGAGCGGGCTTCCCACTGCGGTGACTTGGTGGAAAATGCAGCCTCTGCTGCTCGCAGGCTCAGTAGTTGTGGTTCGGAGGCTTAGTTGCCCCATGGCACATGGGATCTTCATTCCTGGACTAGGGATCGAACCCATGTTTCCCGCATTGGCAGGTGGATTCTTAACCACTGAACCACCAGGACAGTCCAGTATGGATTTAAATATAGTAATCCATCCAGGCGGACCCCAGAGGTATTTTGGGGTTTGGTTCACCACAAAAAAGTGAGTCACAATTCTTTCTGTTTCCCCAGTGCATATAAAAGTTATGCTTACAACACCCTGTAGTCTGTTAATAGCACTGTGTCTAAAAAACTTACATACCTTAATTTATTAATTTTTTTATTGAAGGATAATTGCTTGACAGAATTTTGTTGTTTTCTGTCAAACCTCAACATGAATCAGCCATAGGTGTACATATGTCCCCTCCCTTTTGAACCTCCCTCCCCAGCCCCATACCTTAATTTAGATACTTTATTGATAAAAAATACTAACCATCATCTAAGCCTTTAGTGATCACAGCTGTGACATCAAAGATCATTGATCACAGATCACCATCACAAATGTAATAATGAACCAACTTGAAATATTGGGACAGTTAGCAAAATGTAAAACAGAGACAGGAAGTGAGCATATGCTGTTGTAAAACTGGCTCTGACAGACTTGCCATGGGCTTCACTTTCTTTAATTAAAAAAAAAAAAGCAGTATCTGCAAAGTGCACTGGAGGTCTGCCTATGCTTTCAGTAAGACTCACCACGTGACTTGCATAAAATTATTGCCTGTGTGGTATTAAAACATCTGTGCTTAATTTATAAAATACTTAGAAAGATTTGTCTAGTAGAACTGTAAGGCTTGCCACAGGCTTACCATCAAACTGAAAACTCAGTGTTTATCTAAGAGAAACATTTAGCAAATATTTGGTAAGGGCTTTCTCTGAGCCAGGCAGTCTGTAATCAGTTACAGTCTTGGATTTTGAAATGATATTTGCTTCCTTCTTTTTTTTTTTTTTTTGCCACAATCCCAACCATGTGAGATTGTAGCTTCTTGAATGTGTGAGCAGCCCATGTGATGGGTTGTTAGCACTTCTCAAAGCCTGCCAGAAAGGGCACCAACCTGCTTTTGGTTTCCTCTGACTACAGCTGAGGACGGTTCTTGGTGCCTGTCAAGGTCTGCAGGGAGGGCAGTGTCAGCTTCCCTGCCCGCCCCCCGAACCCCCCCACCTCCAGCCAGGGGACAGCGCGTCCACTGCCCGACCACATCCCCTGCTGAGGGCTCCCAGCAAAAACATGCACACATACCAGTTAAAACCATATTCTCACTTCTGTGGAAATGGGAATGCTAAAATATATATTTTTGGGGGTTAATGTACTCATGATATGAAAGTGGATTAGGAGCAGAATTTCAGCGATCTGAAAAATATGCCCAGAAGGGAGGTTTTTTTTTTTTTTTTCCTATTTTTAAAAATGTTTGACTTTGCTGGGTCTTCCCTGCGGCGCAGGCTTCTCTCTAGCTGCGGCACCCTGGCAGCACACGGGCTGCTCATGGCCATGGTTCTGCTGCTGCGGAAGCGCGGGCTCTAGGGCCTGCAGGCTTCCGCAGTCACGGATTCTGGGCTCCACAGCACAAGCTCAGTAGTTGTGGCACACGGGCACGTGGGATCTTCCCAGAACAGGGGTTGAACCTGCATCTCCTGCACTGGCACGCAGATTCTTTACCTCTGTGCCGCCAGGGGAGCCTGAGGAGGTGTGCTTCTGTTAAAAGGAGTGCCCTGTGGCTGGCTTCTCTGGCGCATCTGGCATGGAGGTGCAGTTCCTTAGGGTCACGAGTCTGCATCTGGGGTCCAGAGACCCGCCTTCCGTGGCTCGGGGACTGGGGAAAGGCCCCGCCACCTCTCTCTGCCTGGGCTTCCTCGTTAAGTGGTTGGGGGACGCCGGTGCCTACTTCTCGGGATGGCCCCAGGATGAGCTGAGGTAGGAGGTGGCTTGGAGGTGAGGTTACTCCCAGAAGCAGGTTCCTGTTTCACACAGAGGCCATCGGAAGAAAGCGTCCCCTCTGCCCACCTGCACAGGCACCCATGCGTCCAGGATCCCGCCAGGGACCTCATCCCCTTTCTCCCCCCACCAGCCCTTCCTCCCACTCCCCCTCAGCATCTGATTGTTCCCAGCAACTTACGAACCTGCTGTTACTTCCCCTTCCATTCAAACACCTGCAAGCTAGCAACACACAAGAGCTGGTCCTTCTGGGCTCCTTGTGGGTGGACTCTCCCACCTCCTTCCAGACCTGCGCACCTTGCGGCCTGGCTCGCTTTGAATACCAGTGTAACACGCCCCCCCGCCCCCGCTCATTCTGCTCACCCAACTCCCCCCCCCCCCCGCATTAGAGCATCAGCTCCGTGAGGTAGGGGGTCACTAGTGTTGTTGCCTCCTGGGGCAGAGTGTCTGCTCCAGAATATTTGGGGGTGGGCGGCCACTGAGATGGTCTCAGGTCTTTACTCGAAGAGCAGAGCTTCTCAGATGGGCATGCCTTCCTTTGGTCAGCGTGTCTTCATGGTATGTGAGTTTCAACTGTTGCTGGGCTCCTTCGCCTCCTTACCTGTCCACCCTCGGGGCTCCCTTTTTTTTTTTTTTTGGATAACTTTAAAATATATATTTATCTGGCTGTGCCAGGTCTTAGTTGCAGCATGTGGGATCTAGTTTCCTGACGCAGGATTGAACCCGGGCCCCCTGCATTGGGAGTGCAGAGTCTTCTCTGCTGGCTCCTCTCAATCCACATCCAGGCCCTGGAACCACCTGAGCCAGAAACCTGAGCATCCGGAGTCTCCCGTATCCACTCTGGAACCTGCCAGGTCTTAACAGGCTGTCCACCTCCCTCACACCTGACTCTCCTCCCGTCTCCCCAGCTGTCGCTTCCTCACTGACTCCCCAGCCTCCTTCCACTCCACCACCGAAGCCAGTCCTTCTCCTAACAGTAAACCTGATGCTCCTGCTGCCCCTCTTTGGCTTCCAGCAGTGGGCCTCCCCCTGGGGCTCTGGCCATGTCAGGCGACTTGGTGTCTCAGCAGATAGTGGCTGCTGCTCTCTGGATCCCAGTTCACTCTTCCAGGCATGCTCGTCCCCAGGCCTTTCTTGCAGGTGAGGCAGCCAGGGCCCCTGGGCACCTCTAAATGACCGCTCAAGCCTCGCTGCGCTGCCTTTGTGAGCTTACTGTCTGGCTGTTTCTCTTCTGCGTCCCTGACCAGTTATCTTTCTCCCTTGCCATCTGTGCTGGGGTGGGGGAGGCGGAGCTGGGAGAGCAGGTCACCCCTGGCTCAGCCACGAGTGATGGGGAGGGGCCTGCTTGTTGGGAAACCCCATGTTCTCTCATTCACAGATATGGGTTTCCAAGCTCCAGCTGAGGCACCGCTGGGGGTAGAAATCTGTTACAGGAAGAGAAGGGAGCCAAAGGCTATGGTTCTGTGGAGTTTGATCTGTAAACAGAGACATTGGAGGAAGAGAAAATTAACCCTGAAATTGAAGGGACATCGGCCAACTTAGCTGGAGTCTGATAGGAAAGGCTTGGTGGGGAGGGGGGGGGGCGGGGGGGCGCCGGGCGGGGCGCGGGAGAAGGATGCCCCCCACCTTGTGTCCACAGCTGACCAGTATTAGGGGGCCTGCCTGGAGCCCACTTTCTCTCTCTCCTTGGTGAGGCTTGGGGTTGACCCTCAGTGTTCCCTGGGGTGTGGCAGGGGCTGTTGGTTTCACTGCTGTCACCCTGTCTGGTTACAGCTCCAACTCCTGGGAAGGCATGGCCTTCCTAGGCCTCGGCTGGCCGCAAGTCCCTGGCCACTCAAGTCCAGCCTCCAATCTGGACTGGGCACCCCCACCCCATGCCAGCCAGGCCCCCATCTGGCCCCCTTGTCCCTCTCCACAGGCTTGTTGGGAGGACCGCAGTTGAGTAGTACTGGGATAAGACAGGTGTGGATGGGGTCCCAGGAGCCACACTCCTGATAAAGAATCACTATGCTGTCTTACGAAAAGTTAAAAATGAGGTGGGGTCTGAGAGTCGTCCCTGAGCTAGATCAAGGTGCCGGTCAGGTGAGAAAGGCTGGGAAACCCCAAATGCTGCAGAAAGCGGGGAATGGGTGCAGGGGGAGCCACGGTGTGGCCACAGCGCGCACGTCTGTCAGGTTCAAGTTTAGTACCAAACTACTAAGCGCTGGTGTGCGACAGGCCCAGTGCTTCCGTGAGGGCGTGGGCCGAGCGGCCTTGGCGGTCCCGTGTAGGCCCCTCCTCCCCTCTGAGCTGTCTCCGGACTGTGGACCGGGGGTCATTCCTACCCGGGTTGCTGGGAAGACTGTGGACCCAGGAAGAGCAGGGGGCAGCGTCCGCCGTCCCCAACAGGGCAGTGTCTGTGATCAGAGGCCGCAACCCCATACGTGCCCGGCCTTGTCAAAAGAAAACCGAGGCGCTGGGCGCGAGCAGGCCCGGCTCGCCGCAGCTTCCACTGACCCTGAGCGCTGCCCGACCCCGATCCGGGTTGCTCCAGAGGCTGAGTCCCCGGCCCTCCGCCCCTGACGGCGACGACCAGGGGGCGGCCCGGGGACCCGAGTCGCCGGGCCCGTCCTCCGGGCCGTCCCCGCCCCTCCTCCGGGACGGGTGGTTTCGGGCCCCCGGACGCCTGGCGGGCCTGGGGTCTCCGTCCTCCGAGATCAGGATCTGGCGCTGGGAGGGCGCGGCCGACAGGCCTTATAAGGTCACGGCGCTGGCGCGGCGCCTCTGGGAGTCGTGCGTGTGCGTGTGTCGGGGGCTCTCCTCGGGGTGTGAGGCCCGAGGCCGCGGACGTGGAGTGGGGGCGCCTAGCGGGGAGGCGCGCGGGGGTCTTCGTCGACAAGGCGGCCCCTTTAAGCGCCGCCAGCCCTGTCCCCTGCGTCTCCTCCCTGCCCCCCCCCAACCCCCCCCGGCCCCAGCGGGACGCCCGGCGGGGAGGCGCGCGGGGTCTCTGTAAACTGGCGGCCCGCGGGGCGGTAGAGGGAGGGCGCGGCCCCTTTAAGCGCCGCCGGCCCCGCCCCCCGCACCTCCCCTCGCCCCCGCGGGAGCCGCGCCACGTGACCCGGGTCTTGTGACCGGCGGGGGAGGCGCGGGGGGAAGCCCGCGGCGCCCGCCTCCAGGGGCCCAGCCCCGCCGCTGCCGCCGCCGCCGCCCGCGAGCCGCGGGTCCTGCCGCCGGGCTTCCGCACGTCCGAGTGAGCCGCAGCCGGGGGCGAGTCCAAGCGGGAGCGGGAGCCGAGCCGGGCGCGGGGGGCGCCGCCCGCCATGGACCACAAGCCCCTGCTGCAGGAGCGGCCGCCCGCCTACAACCTGGAGGCCGGCCAGGGCGAGTTCGCGTGCGCCCCGCACGGCTACGGCGCCATCGCCGCTACCCCGCCGCCGCCCTACCCCTACCTCGTCACAGGTGCGCCGGGCGCGGGCCGGGGGCCCTGGAGCGAACTTCGGGCGGAGTTCCGCCGCGACCTTTAACCCCGAAACCAACTTTTCTCCGGACGTGGCGGCGGCGGGGGGCGCGGTCGAGGGGAGACCCCGGGGTCCGGCGCGCGCAGGGGGTCGGGGACGGCGTTGCCCCGGGAACCGGAGGTCGGGCCCCCGAATCTGGGCATCGCGCGAGCGCCCTGAGCCCACCTGCGGGGTCGCTCGCGCCAGGTTCACCCTTTCTAGGAAGCACATCTATCTCTCTGCAGGTTTAACTTTATTAAGGAGACGCTGTCCACAAGTTAACGCTTATTAAAGCTCATAGTGGGTACTTAGTGGACGCAGCTGTCGTCCTGATTTTGAAAAGGATGCATTTGGTGGGGAGGGGGAGGGCAGGAGTGGACCTCAGACCCTCTTTCCTCCCTGCCGTCTTCTCATGTGTCTTTCTGCTCACAGGGATACCCACCCACCACCCCAGGGTCTACAACATCCACAGTCGGAATGTCACCCGGTACCCTGCCAATTCCATCGTCGTGGTCGGAGGCTGCCCAGTCTGCAGGTATGTCCCAGGCCTGGGGGCTCCAGAAGCCACTAACAATACGCTTGGAGCCTCATAAAGGCAGGATCTGGGGGAGACATGGTCAGTCTCCGGCCAAGCTGCTGACCTGCGCTGTGGGAGAGAGCACGCCGGGTGGTCCTTGGGTCCATACAGGGTTCATGTGGCAGATGGGGCTGGGTGTCTGTCCCTCTCCCCCCGTTGCTGTGCTTTTGGGGCCATTGAGCCCCATGGGGATGGGATGCAGAAATGTCAGCAGTTGGACTGACAGCCTGCTGTCCCTGGTTCTGGGACTTGCAAGTTGGCTCTGCAGTTGCTTCTGGAAGGTGGCCAGAGGGTCCCTTTTCCCCGGGAAGGGTCCTGTTTGGAGAGATGGGCAGGAGGGCCTAGACTCAGGTGACCAGTGTCTTGGAGGAGCTGGAGGGCTGGGGGTGACAGGCAAGGGCTGCTCCGTCCACATCCGGCTGGCAGCTGTGCAAGGACAGGGACGCGGAGGTTCTTTGTTTGGGTGGGAACGGTATTTCATGTTCTCAAAGTCCAGCCACCAGAATCTTCTGTTTTTATAGGGCCTGAGATGTAGCTAGTAGATGCTTGTCCTGAGGGTTCAAATTCCCTGCCCTTTGGTGGAATCCAGTGCATGGACAGTTCAGAATGTCGGGCAGACTTGGCCAGAATCGGCTTTTCTGTCTGCTAGGGGGCAGCCTGTGGGGGTGGGGGTGCGGAAGTTGGAGTTGGTGAGATGGAATTGAGAAACTCTGGTTTCCTTAGTTTCAAAAGTGTATCAGGCAGGCCCTGAGCAGCGTCCAGGGGAAGTTAATAGTTTGAGTCTTGGGCATCAGCCATGTGGGGAGGACTGGAGGGCCGAGGAAGAAGGACGCCTAGAGATGGGGGCAGAACTGGACCCCCCGGAGCCAGCCACGTGCTTGCTGAGGGGGCGGTGGGCAGGGGAGAGCCCTCTGCGTTGCGGTGGCCTGGGGACCCCAAATGGCAGACCTGAAAGAGGTGTGTCTTCTGACACAGCTGGCGACAGGCTGGCCTTTGGAGAACGTGAAGGGGGAAGGGAGACAGCTGGCCGCCTCCAGAGCCGCTCCCTGCCCCGGGCACCTGTGGGCGGCAGAGCTGATGGGTTGGAGGCACGTGGATGGGCTTGGAGCGGGGAGGCGTGGCCCGGGAGGCTGGTCACATGCCGTGGGGCAGGGCAAGGGTCAAGGCTGGTCCTGGCCTGGAGGGCCATCGGGGGAAGTGGCACAGTGGCGTGGGGAGAGGGAACCGCCACGCTTGGCTTCCAGACGGGTCCTGGGCGCCCAGGTCTGTGGGCGCGGCTCAGCTGGGCGACTCCAGGGGCTTGTTTTGGGCATGAGTGGTCTCGAGCCATCTCCTAGGCAAAGGAGGGTGTCAGGCTGGCAGCCGAGGAGTCTGAAGAAGGCCCCCGGAGCCGAGCCCTCCAGCTGGGGTTTCAGTACCCCGTGTGGGCTCCCGTCCTGGCTGTGCCGGCGGGCCCAGTGCCCCATCTGGGCAGGGGGACGCTGGTGGATGCTCTGCCATCTGGCTGGCCCTGGATGGAGGAGAGGAGACCAGCAGTGGGTCCTGGGGGCTGAGATCCCCGGGCTCCTCAGGACGGAGCTATTCCCCTGGGGTGGGAGCCTGGCTCCCGCCCTCAGCCCTGTCCCTCTGCTCTTCTGGGGAGGGGTGTGGGCTCGGCGCTGGCGAAGGCTGGGGGCGGTGGGGGGGCCCTGCATCCGGAACTGGCTTCCTTCCTTGGGTTGGGGTCACAGTCCTCCCGGCCTCTGGGCGGTGGGTGCAGCGAGAGGGGAGCACGTGTGCTGAGGACAAGTTTCAGGGCCCCAGTCGGGCCTTACCCCCTCGCTGCCTCTGAGGTTAGTTCTCTGTGGCCCTGATGTCACTGGAGGACAGAGGGCAGCAGCTGGGCTTCTCCGTGGGCGGGGGCCAGGTGTGTACAAGGAGCCTCTCAGCTGTCTGGGGAGTGGGTACCTCCAGGAGGCTGGGGAGGGTCCCCTGGGGACTGGCTGGCCTGTCTGGCGGCGGTGGCGGGTTGGGAGACAGACAGCTTGTCCTGTGACTGAGCTTCTTTCCTTACCAGCCGGCCCGTCTGCCTGCCTGGCCCGTCTGCCCTGGGAGCCTGGCAGGCATCTGCAGGAGTCACACGTCCGTGATTCCCTGAGCGAGGCCTGTGCCACTGGGCCCTCTGCCACCATCGGAGCCCCCGTGGGTAGCCTGACCCCGTCTTCCCTTTTTAGCAGCAGCAGATGGGTGAGCGCACTCCACCCCTGGCTGCTGTGGGCCGGGCACTGCCTGGCCCAGGCCTCGGCCCTGTCCTAGGCGGTCCTGCCCCGTTGTGGGGCCTATCCCAGCACGCGGGATGGGGAGGCGGGGCTGTGTGGGGCAGGCCTGTGCAGAGGGCCCTGGCCTGGTGTGGAGGCTGGAGGTGTGTCCAGGCCCAGGGTCCTGCTGGGCGCCTCCGGGTGTTGGTCCTGGGGTGACCAGAGGGGTGCGGGGGGCTCCGGGGTGGCCAGGGTCTTGGAATCCGAGACAGGTGTGCGGGGGTCAGATGCTGCCCACAGGCCAGGGCAGCGAGGAGGCCGGTGCCCCAGCCTCCCCTGCTCAGGGGGCATCCCCGGTTTGAGCCCAGCCCTGACCGCAGTGGGCAGGGTGCGCAGAGCTACTGGGGCATGCAGCCCCATCCTGGGGCATCCATCCTGGACTGAGCCTGGTGTCCCCTGATCCCCTGCGGGCCTCGGGCCTCATGGGTCCCCCGTCCCCCTCCGGAGGCCCTGAGACCTGCCCTCAGGGGAGGCCTGCTTGGAGTGGGGCCCTGGGACCCCGGGTGGGGCATGTGTGTCCTGAGGGGATGAGACGTGACCTGATCTCTGAAGGGGGCTGCCAGTGCTTTGGGGCGCCCTGCCGTGTCCCCACCTGGCTCCGGGCTCACGGCTCCTGGAGGAGGCGGAGTCCTCCGGCCCCTGCCCAGGAAGCTGGTCTGGTGCTGCTTGTGCTGCTCCTGCTGCTGGGGTGCAGAGGGTGGGGGCCCTGGCTGGGTCTGGGCTGCTCGCAGCCCCACCAGGTTCTGGTCCAGCTTCCTGGGGAGGGGGCCCCATCCGGCTGAGCGCCCAGCTTCTCCGTGAGGTCAGAGGCAGCGAGATGAGTGTGTTTAGAGTTAGCTCCCCGGTTTCTCCATCTTCTGTATCTTCCTCACCCCCGTTGCAAAGGAATCTGGACGGGGCCTTGCTCAGCTGGGACTCAGAGCCAGTTGGTAAAGAGCTGAGCTGACCGGGGCTCCAGAGGGGCTTGGAGGAGAAGCGGCCAGGTTGCTCAGGAGGGGCTGGCAGGATGGGCGGGCGCCCACGGGGACTGGGTGGTTTGTTCCCTGGGCTTCTTGCCGCGTCAGGATCGGCCTAGAGACCAGCCTGAGTTTTTCAGTTTAAAAGATTCTGGGTTTTTAAAAACAGTAAATCACAGCCACCCTGCTTTTGCGGCACAGGCAGGCAGCATGCATCGTCAGAAGCGAACGTTTCTGCAGCAGGACGCACGCGTTCCTGTGGAGTGGACACGTTAGGACTGTAAACGGCCGCTTGGTAGTTGAGGTCACAGTGGCTGCCGGTTGAGTTTGTTACCAACTTTGTTAAAAAGTCCTGCTTTCAGAGCCTTTGGTGTTTGAGGCTGTAGCTCAGAGGTGTGGGCTCAGGGCGCCCCTGGGTGAGGCTCGGAGGCCCCTGGTCCCTGGGGCTGTGGGGCGGGGTCAGGTCTGGGTGTGAGCAGAGCCTCGCTCCCTACCCGAGGGGAGCGGCCCGACTCCTCCCGAGACCCGGGGTGGCCTGGCCGCCCTCTGCGAGGGGTGAGGCGGCTCATGCCATCAAACCCGGACTCCCACCAAGGGTGTGGGAAGGGCTGCCGCTCTGCTCCGGCTGGAGAGAGGGAAGGATCTGCACAGAAAAAGCCGCGGTCGGTGGGCTGAGGCGCGTGGGGTGGGCTGTCGGGCCTCGTGGGCTGGGGCGCAATGTCTGTGCCCTCCCTCAGGCCGCCGAGGACCCCACGAGCCCGCCCCTGTGTGGTGTGGACCGGGTCTGGGTCTGGGTGGGCAGTTATTGGGGTGGGGCTGCTGCTGTTTGACCCCAGAGGCCAGGAGACGTGCCAGGGGGCTGTCCGTGTGGATGCGGCACCAGGCTGCGGGCCAGCCCTGCCCCTGCCCTAGGGGAGGTGGACGCCGCGAGGCTCCTCCAGCCCGGGTGCCCCTCAGCGCGTCCTCCCGGCGAATCCTGGAGCCCCCTGGGGGACGCATGGGGTTCTAGGCTGTGCCTCTTAGCAGTCTGGGCCTTCAGTGAGATGACGGGGCGTCCAGCCTGGGTGGGGCTCGGGGAGCATCTGTGGGTGACCCGGGAGGCAGGCCTCTCCTGAAAGGTCTCAGCTGGTGCCGCTGACCCAGCCGGGAGGCCTGGGCCCTTGTCCCCTGCTTCCCCCTTGGATGTTTTGACCGAGGGCTGTGCCCTGGGGGTTTGGCCCCAGGTAGAGAAGGTGGGGTAGGTGCCCCCCAGCCACGCTCGTGGCCTCGGGCGTCCCTGCCCGCCGGCCTGTCCCATGCCAGGTGGGGCCCTGGCGGTGGCAGCACCCCACCCCGACCAGCTGCAGCCCCCGTGCTTCCTCAGCGGGGCTCCTGCCTCCTGGGCTGCGGGCCTGGAGCCGGGCAGCTGCGGTCAGGGCGGGCCGGGGCTCAGAGGTGTGGTGACAGCCTCGCGCTGCCCCTTGGGGCGGGCCTGGCCTGTGGGCGGCTTTGCTGCTGGCTTCTGGGACCTTTCCTGAACTCAGCTAGGGCCTCCAGGGGAGGGCAGAGAACCTCAGCGGTTCACCGAGAACCCCCGTTTGACCTTCTGCAGTGTCGCAGGGCTGCTGGAGTGTGTGTTTCCTTGAGGTGGTTCCTTCCGGCGTTTGCGGGCTCTGGGGCTTCAGGAAGATGGGGAGGGCGTGGGGTGGGGTGGGTCCCGGTTCTCCCGCAGCTCCGGGGTGGGAGGAAAGCGGTTCTGGGGCTGGGGGCTGGCGTCGGGGGTCTCACTTCAGCCGTGAGGGCGTGTGGCAGCTCCTCCATCTGCCTCGGGGGTCTTGGAGAAGGACCCTGACCCTGGGTGGTGATCTCTTGGTGATGTGGTTGGGGGCTGGCCCCTCGCGGTCCCAGGGGTCTTAGACTGGGCATGTGGAGGGTTAATGTGACTTTTTCCAAAGAGGAGCTTTGAGATCAAACCTCCCAAGGTAAGTGACATGGTGTGAACCTGGGTGATCTCAGCCTTTCACTGAAACCTGCTGCCCCCTCCTCCCACCAGTAAAAACCCCAGAGTCCAAACTGTCACTATTCTTGGAGTTTTCCTCTAGGGAATGGAAAAATAAGTCAAAACTTTCCAACGGTGGGAAAAAATACTGTAAAGTGACTTGGGTCTCGTGTTCTTGGCGACACAAGTGTCTATAGGAACCAGCCTTCGCCGCCTGTTCCTGAGCGCTGCGGCGGCACGTTTCCTCTGCAGCTGCCCCCGGCGTCCCCTCCGTGAGCAGCGCCTGGCCCCGGCGTCCCCAGGCCGCGGGCTTGGTTGCTGCAGAGGGTGGGGGCGTCTCGGGGTGGCCTCAGGCCCGCGAGGGCCCTGACCTGTGCGCCCGCTCTGTCTCCGCAGAGTCGGGGTTCTGGAGGACTCCTTCACCTTCCTGGGCATCTTCTTGGCCATCGTCTTGTTCCCCTTTGGGTTCATCTGCTGTTTCGCCTTGAGGAAGCGAAGATGCCCCAACTGTGGAGCCAACTTTACTTAAAGGGAACACCACACCTGGCTTTCCCACACCCAGCTATCTTTTTCTAATGTAAATGTCGTGTACAATAGCTTTATTTGATGAAGCTTCAGGACTGTTTTGTAAAGTGAGGCGGGTGGACGGGGCGGGCGAGGGGCACGGGGTCGGAGTGAGGACACGGGCGGCTCTGCTCCTAGCTGACCGAGGCTCAATAAAGCGCTGCTTTTATTTTTCGCAGTCTTCAATTTGAGAAAGGTGAGAAATACTGTTTTAAATAAATGAGATCCATACCATTGTTTACCTGGTTGCTTCTTCAGTGTGTGCACGCTGTCACCAAGTTTTGTTATGGAAAACACACAGGCGCGCCTCTCCGGCCCTAACCCCCCCAGCACCATGCAGTTCGGGCGACCTTCCCTTACACAGCTCCAAGAATGTGCCTGTTTTCAAGTTTTTATTCTTAGTACGAAGCCTGATACCTTGACGTTCGCAGAGCACGCACCCCATGCCCAGGATCCACGGCCCGGCCTCTGTCCTGTGAGCAGGGTGGTGTGCGCGGCCTGGTGACCCCAGGACCCAAGACCCCCACGCCGCAGCCTCACAGTCACACGACCCCCGGAGCGGGTGTGGGACCCCCCGCCCCTTCCCCTGACTCGCGAGCCTCCAGAGCCTGCCCCCACGGCGGGAAGGAGCCGGCCCCGGGACGGACCGAGTGTCGTCCTGGCTGGCGGACGGCTGCCCCAGACCCCCGCCACCGAGGGGCCGCCCGCGTGGCCCACCAGCCGGGGGCAGGGCCAGCCCCGGGAGCGCCACACCCCACACTGTTTACCTGCCCTCAGTCCTTCTCGCGCTCCGAGAACGCATCACTGCCGAACTGAAAGCTGTCACCAGGAGCAAGACCCCCGCGCGGTGCCGGGCTGCGTGTTTTCTCGCCCCTCATCCCCTCCAGATGGCGCCGGCCCGCAGCAGAGACTGGCCCAGCGCTGCTCTGACTCCTTGCTGGGGCCCAGCGCGGGGTGGGGCTGGGCTGAAATGCTCCCCCCGCCCAGCACCCAGGGGTCCTCCTAGCTTCACTGGGGCTGCTGGGCGTCTCAGTGCCCGACCGAAAAGGAGAGAAACTTGCACTCTGAGAGGGTTCAGAGTAAACGGTGCTGGAGGCGACTGTGGTTGACTAGTGTAGCGAGAGGCGCCTGGTCCCGTCTGTGGAGTCTCCCGAGGCAGGTGCCGGCCTGTGAGCCAGGATCCCACGAGGCACGTGAGCCCGGCGGGCTTCTGCGGGTCATCCTAGTGAGGTCACTCAGCCCTAGGCTCAGTCCCTCTGAGAACTACTCAAGTACGAAGACCCTGGCTGTGACAGGGCCAGGCGGATCTCAGGGCTCGAGAGCTGTCTAAGTCACGAGAACCTGTGGGATGCTTCATCTTGGCTAGGGCTATAGTAAACAAATTTTAAAGTTAAATAAGTGTTATACAATATCCTCATAGTTTATATTGCTTAAGATTATTTGCATGCTAGGATGCAAATTTACATAGTATTTTCTTTAAACATAATGCTATTTAAGAGCACATGCTTTATAAAACTGATCTCATTTGCATTTGGGTGCAGAAAGCCAGTCACAAAAGCATCCACTATCCCTTACTCTGGCTATTAAAAAAAAATATCAGAACATTAAACAAAAAGTGATACAATAAGGATTGGAACCAAATTTACTATTTTCGAACAGAATAGGGAAAAAGTTTTAAATGATTGAGTTGTAACTAAACTGATTTATCTTAAAGAAATGTGTAAACCCAACTGTGTTAACTTAGAAAATGTGTTGATTTGCTCAAGTGGAATACACACAAAATCAGACGCTCTCTGGTGAAGTTTTACAACTGGATGGCGCTTGTCAGACACACACCTATCGTTTCCAGAGCGAGAGCCCAGCGGGGAACCAGGAGAACGCCGGAGCTGCCTTCTCATCGGATGACAGGCGCTGAGCGGTCGTTTGTCACCGTCGGGCGGAGTTTCACAGTGGCAAAGGGGTTCTCTCCACTGCGGGGACAGGGCAGGAAAAATGTTGGTGGAAATACGCCAAGACGGGGGTTTGATTTGAAAACAGCCAGTGACTACCCTTGCTCTGTAACATACACTTCTATAAACTGCAGAACATTATAAAGTTCCGTTCTGGGATGGTTCTCTCCCCACTGCCTGTTAAAAACACTGATTGTTTTGTTTTGGACACGGAGGGGACTGATCCGAGGCCTCAGGCCTGTGGGGTCCTCTGGGGCTGGGGGCTGGGCGCTGTATGGGCTTGCTTCTGCCTTGATCCAGAGGGAGTGCCCGTCCTGGAAGGCTGTCCTACCACGGCCCTCCCCCGCACCCGAGGCAGGACAGCGGAGAGGAGGGCGCCCTCTGTCGGCGGGGGTGCTTCCCTGGCGGCCAGTGGTTAGGACTCAGCACTTTCACTGCCAAGGGGCCCGAGGTCAGTCCCTGGTCTGGAACTAAGGTTCAGCGAGCCCAGGCCTCTTGGGATGAGCCGGAGGGAGAGGCCCTTGGGAAGGAAGTTAACTTACCTGAGGAAAGGAGGCTTTGCAAACCCATTTGCATTGTTCTGTGGGAAAGAAAAAGAGGACATTTATGGGAAGTTTGCAGTAAGACCTGAGGGTACAGATATCTGAAGCCCACAGCTGCTGAAAGCGCAGAGAGCTCCCGACAGTCTCCATTCACTGGGAGGAGACATTAAATTCCCCTGGAGGAATCGGGGCCAGAACGAGAGAAGCTGGGGAGCCTGGCGCCGGCCCTCACGAGCGTGGGCGTGTCCAGCGAGAGGGCGCGGGGGCGCTGCTGCTCGCCTGGTCTGCCCAGGTGAGGACTGGCAGTCACGGGTGGCTTCCAGGAGCCTGGTCCTCACGGATGCCGTGAGGAGCAGTAAGTCAGAAGGAAACTTGTTGGGTTTCGGTGCCCACAGACTGCTGTCAACTGCCAGCCAGAGACCTGAGCTTGTACGGAGTCCCGCCGGCGCGGGGGTCGGGGCGGACGGAACAGCACAGGCGCCGTCTCCACCTTGGGGAATTGCCCAGCCTCCGGCTCCCGGGGCTCAGGTCCAGCATGGCCAGGGGCCAGGTGAGAGCCTGTCCTCGCCCCCGAGACCTCTGCTCCGGCTGCCGCACAGGCTCGCTGTCGGAGCTGGCTGCCCAGGAGGGGGCAGTGTCATGCTGTGTGACCAGCGCTCCCTGGGGACGCTCTGTGCTGTGCTGGACATACAGACCTTCGAGGCGGAGGGAGGCTGGCGGCCCAGGGCTGCTTCTGACCTGTGCCTGAGGGTCTGGGCCTCTGGACACACCTTGGCCTGGGCCCGGGGCCAGCCAGCTCATCCTGAGGGGGGCACCCCGCCACCAGGGCAGTCAACCTGGCACCCCCATTCCCTGTCTCCCCTTCAGGGGGAAGCCCAGAGCAGCTGCCTCGCTTGTCAGCACGTTTCCACAGGGCACGCCCAGCAGGCCTTGGCATAGGCTGTTCCTGTGTTCCAGGGGGATGGAGGGCTCATTTGCGATTCTACAGACATTCCCCGATGTCCGTGTGCAGCCCCAAGCCTGCTCAGGGCACCTGGCGGGGAGCCGAGTCCCGGCTGTGGCTCAGGGGTGGTAGGGGTGTCCTCCCACCTGGGAAGCCTTCTTCCTGCCGAGCAGGTAGCGGAAACCCCCTTCCTGCCTGTCCCTGGGGCAGGACACGCCCCCTCCTCTGTGCGCCCTCGTCTTGGATAGGACCCCTGCTTGCTGAACAGCAGCGCCCCCGCTGCCCTCGAGGCAGAAACCTTGGAACTCAACGGCACTGTGAACCAAGCTCGGTCGGGGTCTCACAAGCTATGTCATCTGGGACACGACACTCGAGAAACAGACGGTGAAGGAGATGCATCTGAGTCCAGCCCTGGTGGGGAACTGGTGAGAAGTAACAGCTCGTGCCACGAGGAAGGAGGGCAAAATGACCCTTAACAGGCCGCCTGAAACCACTGGCACTGGTGCACGTCCCGTGCCCCCTTGAGCCCGCTCCGGTTGGTACAGCAGCACAGACGGGGGGCACCAAGGCACTCGGCGGGCACTGGCAGCACCCGGTCCTAACAGCAGGGCCGTCAGGCAGGGCATTCTCTTCCACAAAAATCATATTACCTAAAAAGCACCAATGCTTTCTTAGCTCAGTCTCCCAAGGCAATAGAAGTAAAAGCAAAAACAAAACAAACGGGACCTAATCGTACTTACACGCTTTTTGCACAGCAAAGGAAACCATCAACAAAGCGGAAAGACAACCTACGGTCTGGGAGAAGGATTTGCAAGTGATTCTGCCAACAAAAGCTTGCCTTCTGAAATATACATAGAGCTCGTATAAGTGAAAGTGTTAACCACTCAGTTGTGTCCAGCTTTGTGGCCCCAGGGGCTAAAGGCTGCTGGGCTTCTGTCCACGGGATTTTCTGGGCAAGAATACTGGAGTGGGCAGCCCTTTCCTTCTCCAGGGGGTCTTCCCTATCAAGGGATCGAACCCAGGTCTCCTGCATTGCAGGTGGATTCTTTACTGTCTGAGCCACTTACCTGGCTAGCTTGTACAATGCAGTAACAAAAACAACCCAATCCAAAGGTGGGCAGAAGACTTATCAAATAGACACTTCTTCAGAGAAGACACACAGATGGCCAACAGGCACGTGAAAAGGTGCTCAACATCATTGATTACTGGGCTTCCCCGGTGGCTCAGAGGTTAAAGCGTCTGCCTCCAAGGCGGGAGACCTGGGTTCAATCCCTGGGTCGGGAATATCCCCTGGAGAAGGGAATGGCAACCCACTCCAGTATTCTTGCCTGGAGAATCCCATGGACGGAGGAGCCTGGTAGGCTACAGTCCATGGGGTCGCAAAGAGTCGGACACGGCACCCAAGCTGCCATGAGGTACAACCCTCCCGCCCACTAGAATAGCCACTGTTAAAATGCCTACAAATAACAAACCCTGGAGAGGGTGCGGGGAAAGGGGAGCCTGCCTACACTGTTGGTGGGGATGTAAAATG